GGACTCTCATAGTACACAATCATCAACATGTCACTTGAATTATATAGTCTAGTAAATAAATTGTAATACTGGTCGATAAACTCAACTGTTAAAAACAGCCTGCGTATAAGTCAAATTACTATTACTAGAAGACTGTCTGTAATAAAATTTCTTAAAGTTTTTGTCTGACTTCCAGTCCGCAGTTTCTAAGATAGACTTCAAAGAACAACCCCTGCTGAAGGCTGCTGATGTAGATACACCTCTAAAAGAATGAGCTTTATAAATATCCGTATTGATACCGGAGAGTTCTAAAACTGTCTTCAGCAATCTGGCTATAGTACTGCTAGTTACTTTATCAAAAGTTTGAAAAGAAATTAATAAAGACCTAGATAATCTACAATTCTCAGTTGCCTTAAGATAAGCTAAAAGAGTATGCATAGCACATAAACTTTCCTGAGAAAAGTGTTCAATACGTAGTGAAAAAGAATGACCAATTTTAGAAGTCTTAAGTAAATGTGGAAACAAAAACACAATATCTTTCTCTTGAATTAACATATTATCCAAATTCATAGCTGTTAAAGTCTGAGCTCTAGGAGCTGTTGCTAACGAAATCAAAGCAACCACCTTAAAAGTCAACATTTTAAGAGTTAATTTGTTCAAAGGCATAAGAGTTTTCAAAAACTTCAAAACAATTGTCACATCCCAAAACACTAAATATCTAGGCCGCGGAGGTTTGAAGTTAAACACACTTTTCATGAAGCGAGGAATTAACTCACACGATTTGCACCAACGGTTCCCAAAAAACGGCAAAGTCTGCAAAAGCATAGACTTATGACTATTAATTACCGAATAGGATCTTCCTAATTTAAATAAATAAAACAGATACATTACAATTTCATCTTCAGTTGTGTTAAGGGGATTTGACAACCTGACACAGTTCCAAGATGACCATATTTTCCAGGCGCTTTGATACTGCTTCTGAGTTCCTCTTGCCCATGATGATAAAATGAAGTCGGCAAGGTCTGACGAAAAACCTCGACTTTGGAGCGATTTCCCGATATGATGGCTGCGACCAAATTTAAACGCTTCCCCAATGGGTGTTGTTCTAGACTGTGTGGCAGTACGAGCAAATCCCTGTGTCGTGGTAACCTTGAGGGAATAGAACAAATACATTCTAAAATAATAGGAAACCATGGTTGAGATGGCCATAAAGGAAATACTATTAGAGCCTTATCAACTTCATGCAGTCTTACTTTATTAATAACTTTTGTTATCATATTAAATGGAGGAAACAAATATGGACAAAGTCCAGACCATGACATATTAAACGCATTTACAGAATAGGCTCCTGGCTCTGGAAACCATGTTACAAACTTGTCTAATTTTGTATTTAAACGCGACGCAAACAAATCTATATCCGGTAAAAAATATTGTTTACAAATTCTGTCAAAAACACTTTGTTTCAACATCCATTCCGAAGAATTAGAGAAATTTCTAGAATAAAAATCTGCAGTATTTTCTTTTCCTGCAATATGACTGGCAGACAAACAAATATTCCTTTGAATGCACCAAAACCAAATATTTTTAGCTAAAGAATCCATAGGTATTGAATGCATACCACCAAACTCATTTACATAGGAAACTGCAGTAGTATTATCACACTGTACTTCAATATGTTTATTGGAACAGTTAGTGTAAAGAGCCTTTAAAACATAAAAAATTGCCAATAATTCTAAATAATTGATATTGTTGTTCGACTCCTCGAAGGTCCATCTGCCATTTGTATGCATTTTGAGACTCTAGGTCTATCCCCCCAAAACCAGATAAGCTCGCGTCCGTTCTACATTTGATATCCACAGGTTGTGGTCTTATAAACTTCCCATTTTTAATAACAGTATTTTGTAACCACCATTGTAACTCCTCTAAAGAGGTTGTAGATAAATTCATGGTCTGGTCAAAATCCATAGTGTTGCCAAGAGCAAAAATTTTATCTCTCTCTAAATCACGATAATGTAATTTAGCCTCAAAGACAGCAAAAAAGGCATTGATAACAAGACCAATAAAAGATGCTAATTCTCTTATAAAAACATTCTTCTTTGAAATAAGAAACTTGGCTTTAGAAATAATTTTTTGTACTTTTTCATCAGGTAAATAGACCTTAAATTCAACGGAATCAATAATAAAACCAAAAAATATTATCCTTTGAGAAGGTACAAGACTGGATTTGTCTTGATTGACAACAAAACCTAATGATTCTAAAGTTTGAACTAAAGTCATTGAATTTTTTGAACAGATAATCTTATCTTGACTCATATTCAATGAATCATCAATGTAGTAACTGCATCGAATATCTTGTTTTCTTAACCAAGCATAGACTGGTTTTAATATTTTTGTAAACAAATAAGGCGCAATGGAAAGCCCAAAAGGTAAACATGAAAATTCATACAAGTTTCCATTCCATTGAAACTTTAAATATTTTCTATAATGTTCATGTATAGGAACAGAAAAGTATGCCTCAGACAAATCAACTTTTGTAAAGTAATCATTTCTCTGTATCAGATCTAAAACAATATTAAATATTTCTTGTTTGAAATGATTATAACATACAAATTCATTGAGATATCTAAGATTAATGACTGGCCTAAATTTACCATTAGGCTTAGCAACAATGAATAAAGTAGAGATAAACTCGTTATACTGGTGAGAAGATTGCAAAACGGCACCTTTTTTAATAAGAGATTCAACTTCATCATTAACAATTTTCCACTGTTCACCTTCAAAGGGAATTTCTTTAGGTATTTTATTCTGAAAAGGTTTCTTTACAAAATCAATTTTATAACCAGAAACTACTCCTAGAATCCAAGGATCATTTGTGTATTTTTTCCATTGGTCTAAATGTAATTTTATTTTTCCAACTGAACTTACCTTATTTAAGCCTGATCGTTTGGGGCTGTAGCAGTTGCAGTAGGTACAGATCTCCTAAAAGGTCTGGATCTTGGCATATTCCTATTATACTGACCTCTCGACTGGTAAGGCTGAGTTCTAGAGATGAACCTAGATGAATAGCTTTTCCTAGGAAAACGACCTCTGCCTCTAAAATTGCTCCCATATAATCCATACAAAGGACTTTGTTGACTGAAGGTATTCCCTAAGGACAATGTACTCTCACAATTCTTTACCTCTTTACTTATGTCATCCCCAAAAAGTTTAGTTGTAACAGGCATTGAGGTTTGACAAAGACTAGCATACTTCTTTTTAAGCAATGGCCGAATAAAATATCTTCTCCGAAGAGAAAGATTATACTGTATTTGTCCTAGGACAGTGAACAAGTCACACATTACATTCTTAGCGTCTGGAGATATGTTACCCTTAATCAACTCGGCTAATTTAATTACTGTGCCAAAACCGGTAGCTACTAAATTTTGAATGTTAACTAACATCTTATCATTCAAATGAGATTTTTTGTCCAAAATTTTCCAAATTTCTTGATTGACTAAAGGTGGGCTAGCCATTTCGCAGTTCTCAGGCACCTTATACTCATTTGTAAGGGGATCTGTATCGCAAAGAGCTGTACAAGAGGTATTGATCAGCTCAGCCAACTTAGTAGAAACAGCTTTGCCTTTTAAAGGAACCTTCAATTTTGGCATAGCCCAATCAATTTCATCCGAAGATAAAAAAATTGTTATTTTGGTCACTTTTAGTCGAACCATCATCAAAAAGAGCCTGAGAAAACCCTCTAGAAAGGGAATCACGACTATGTGTCTGAATAGACTGAACACCAGCATGTTCATAATTACCAGAATCATCTTGTTCAAAAGGGGCATATTCATTGTCAGATACATTATCTGCATCGACCTGAACAGTAATATTAGGCCTAACAGACAAATCTTTTTCGGCAAAATAAACGTCATCATCATTATCAACAGGATTCGAATCCTGTTGTATGCCGAGCAAACTCCTAAGAGATGCAATGTCAGCGGCTGACAACTTCGAAACATCTAATAATGGCCTGTCCGAGGACTTCTCCGAAGAGGTTTGGCCAGCACTCTTATTTACCACATGAACTGTGGACTTTAAGGACTTACCTTTGGGTTTTTTAGACTTCGTTACATTTTTTGACCGCCGAGGAGGTTTAGACGTTTTAGGCATGTCAGACTCAGAAAATCCAGAAAAACCCTCTTCCGAAGAAGACATAGCGGATAAAACATCATCCATGACAAAAACAAATAGCAAGGTATACTTTACCTACCAAAAATTAAAAGGTATAACCAGAAAGTAAGCGTAAAATAACCAACACGTGCGTAACATCGAAACGCCAGAAAAGATATGAAATTTCCGGGGTTTACTTCCGGTATTGTATGGTGTACTGCGCATGTGCGATGGGGAATACCTCATTACGCGGGAGATTTGATTCTTTTTTAAAGTGCGATTTAATCGATACGTCCAGGAAGGAATGCTATGTATACATGCGAAAGCCGAAGGCTTTATGAAAATAATGACTGTAAACTGTCTGTCACTTTAGAAATAAAATAAATGTACTGGTACATGATCAGATTATCATTGGTGAGAAAAAAAAATTGTGGTAAAAATAGTTAAATGTATACCACCCAAATTCTATACATTTTGTACTAGTATAAAAATAATAAAAATAAGTATATATAAATCCATGTTTAATTAGATGTTTATATAAACTAAGGCAATGTATACGATCTGTAGAATACCTTGTTTCTACAATAAATATACCACACAAGCCAAATGGGCTTATCAGCCAGAAAAAGGGCATATCAGTTCACAAGGAGAGTGCTTCTCTCAGGAAACACATGCTATACAAGCAGACGGCAGGCACATGGTATTTTTTACACTGAACCTCATTTATTTTGTTAAACTTGGAATAGTGCAGAGCTGTGTTAAGTCAAGAGAGTGTGTATTTCTGGAAAAAAATTATGGATTTAAAAGGAATTACTTTCTAAATGAAGAAAGAAATTTGTTGATTAAAAATATTTCTGGATATTTCATATATATGTTAAAGTAGTTATTAAAATAATAACATATAAACGACACAGGATTAAAATAAAACAATAATATTTCTGATGTGACTTGATGTGTATGCTCAAGACGAGCCAAAATTTTTAAAAAAATATTTCACGAAACAAAAACAAAACATAAAATTACTTAACAGAGGGGATTAAATAAAAGCTATCGGAATAATATTTTAGATGAGTGTCATCGTAAGGAGAGTGTAATGACGTCTGACATGAGGAAGTGATTGTTTAAACCAATATCTGTGTTTGCTGTGAAATGTTCCGTTGCTCTGATCTCGTTCTCTCACTCTCTGGTGCTATAGTTCCTGGAAGTTTGTGATCGGCTGTTCGCACATGATAATCTCTTGTCATTGTGATAACCGTTTCACTGTAATCACACTGATAAAACATTAACGTGACAAACTTTATTTACGTCTGCTGCGGAAAAACAATTTTTTTACGTCTGCCCGCAAGAACTGAAAATTTAGTGATAGCATTCATATTTTGTAATTTTTTTCATTGCCGATTTTTTTTTTCTCTTGTGAAATTTTATAAAAGTTTTATACCCATACTGTATGAGTAAGGCAAAATTCACTGAGAGAAGAAAGTTTTATTGGAGAGTTATTTTATTTTATCCTGAAAGATTTATATTTACTTTACTGTATGTGTGTTGAAAAAGACTTGTGAAGAAAAATAATAATAAATAAGGATTTATTTGTCTTGTGATATGGTAAGTAGAATAAATACACTATTTATAGTAAACAATAGTAATTGAATTTACATACAATAATAATTATTGTAAAATTGTCTGAGTCCGGAAATAACCAAAATGTATAAATTATTCTATATTCTATTATTATCTGGTATTACAGATAAAAACAAAACAAAAATATGTGACATAAATCAGGAACAATTTATTTAATGATGTGTGTAAGGTCTTTGTTTTTGTTTGTACAAATTTATTTTACCTTGATTTTGAATAGTTTATAATTTATCATAATTTCATTATATCAAATAACAGTATAAAGATTTTGGATGTCAAATTGTATCATTGAAAAATTAAACCATACACATATTTATAAAATATGTAGATTAAACAATACACATATTTATAAAATATGTAGATAGTTTTGGACCTCTTTAATAAATATATAATGCTTATAGCTTTAATAATAGTTAATACCGATTTTTTTTTTTGGAGGGGCTGGGAGGGGGGGGGCATTGTTGGGTTGGGGGATCAATTAATATAAAAAATAAATTAGTATTGTTACTTTGTATCTTGTATGTATTAATATATTGAAAATAATTTGTACATAATTATCATTAAATTTCATACAACTGCATTTGGTATGTAGGCTAGCCCAACAAATTGTGCGCCAGGGCATTTTATTATATTGACGATGGTAGCTCTTCGTAAAGACCGACATCTACATAATATCAGTTTGTAAAATTGGTACGAGTCTTGCAGTCAAAATTTTGAATATGTAAAGGTCTTTTCAATTAAACATAAAATTTACTTTTTTATATTTTTGTGTTAATACAATCATGTTACCCAGCTACAAATACATTGCATTGTTTTCAAGGTATTATTTTAAAATATGATAACAAGTAATAATATAATGTGTAATAATTTTAACTGCAATTTTGATTTATCTAAACACCAAAAAAATGTCAAATAGAAAATATAAAAAAAGATATTTCAATTGTGACTGTTCTGATTCAATGATTGAATTGAAAAATTATATTTTTAAAGAGATAAATATTTGTAGGCCATTAATTTGTGTTTATTTGCTGTGGAAGTTTGTATCATCATGTTTTTAATTTGCAATAAATTGTTTAGGTCTTTCAATTAAAAGTATATTACATTTTGTATACATTGTTGAACTGTGCATAAATAAATTTGACAACAATATGAAAGAGTCCAAGTCAATCGCCCGTTGTTTAAGGGTCAAATATTAAGATAATAATTTTCTATCAATTCAAAATTATTTGTGATTATATCTAAATTAACATGAATTATATCATGTTTTGTTCTCTTGATCATTTTTCAATTGTTTTTTTTTTCTTTTTTATACTACATGTATTATTATGTATTGAAAGACTGGAAAAATATTTCATTACTGGATCAGATTTGCATATACTATATGTAGTATAGTCTATTTAATTGAATTATATGTTAAATCTAACTCTCATATGCAATTCTATAATATAATGCACTGCCCATGAATAGTTGAAAATAAACTGTATTAAACTACAATATAATAAATGTGAAATGTGACACAGTTTTAATGTACTATCCTCAAAGGATTATCTTGATAGTGTATTGATTGGAACAGACTGTGCCCATGTGGGACAGATGTAATACCACCTGCATCAGTGATACAGTCTGAGAATTTAATAATCTAAATCTGAACCACTAGAGGCAATATTGCAGGCTTATGGCAAATTGGCAAGTGCTAGCCTTTACAATGGTGACAAATTGGCAATTTTGGGCTTGTGGCAAAATAGGCAATATGAAGGCTTGTGGTAAATTTTTTGGCAATTTCAGATTTGTAGCAAAATAGGCAAGTTCATGTTTGTGACGAAATTGGCTATTTCAGACTTGAGGCATGATTGGTAATTTCAGACCTGTGGCAAAATTGATAACTTAAGGCTTGTGGCAAAATTAGTAGTTTCAGGTTAATGTGTGATATAACAGCAATTTTGGGCTTGTGGCAAAATTGATGACTTCAGGCTTGTGGCAAAATAAGCAGTTTTAGGCTTATGTCAATATGTGTGAGGTAATGGCAATTTTAAAAATTGGGCTTGTGGCAAAATTGATGACTTAAAGCTTGTGACAAAATTAGCAGTTTCAGACTAATGTTTATAATAATGGCAATTTTGGGCTTGTGGCAAAATTGATGACTTAAGGCTTGTGGCAAAATAAACATTTTTTATTATAAGATTTAATAATTTCAATATTGTAAGCACCTGGGGTGCATTTCACTGACATTATCGTTACTCTTGTTTGAATGTAACTTTTTGCGTAAACAGAAATTACGTATTTATTTGCGTTTCACTAAACTTTCTTAGCTACACATTTGCGTGAGTTTAAACATAAAGTTACGCTCATTTATTACTGGCGTAAATTGCATGTTCTCAGATTAGTAAAATGCAAATAACATAAATTTACGTTTTGCGTCAGTCGAAATTAATGTTAAAAGATAAGCAAAACTTAGGGAATGTTAGTGAAACGCTCCCCTGAAACTTAAAAGTCCAATTATACTGGCTGTTTAGTAATATTTTAATGGTAAAGGGAAAAAGCAGGTGGAAAAAACCCAGCTATATTTGATTCCTTTTTAGAAAAAAAAATGATATATTAATCTACCTATGGCAGGAGTTATATTTATCATTTTGCTTTAAATGTACAGTTGTAATCAAAAGTGCACCTGCTCCATATACATTTGCTCAGAAATTTCAAGTCAATCATAGGGACATTTATTTACAAAGTCATGTATATGATTTATTGACAGAAATTGAGATTTTCTTTTAAAAAAGTACATACTTTGAAGGGGTTTTTTTTAAAAAAAAAGTGCATACTTTATTTCAATTCAATTTGGTTACTTTCTAAAGCATATACATGTATGTGTAATTCTGCAGAAGTTGATTTTGGGAGAGCTATTTTTATTTTGAAGTTAATTCAGCTACAAAGTGTACATGTCATATTGATGTGGAGAAGTTGGCAGATGCATGAGGAAACAAATTTGTTTATATACTCAGGAGCTTTGTATAGATTGGATAATTGTTTAGCAGATATAGTTATGACAAGTTTATTGATAGTGGCAGCATGGCTGAGTGGTGGACATGACAGCCTAGGAATGAAAGAACTGCTTGCTGTGCATGTTCGAACCCTGTCAGGGGCAACTCAGTGTTTCCTTGAGCAAAATACTTTCTTATACTCATTGCCTCATTCTGGTTTGTTCGAGAAAAGGGTTAGAAAGTGTGTCTATAAGCATATAATTTCCTACAAAATGAATTCTGTATTTACTACAATTGTTAAAAACTGACGTTAATAACTAAACAAAGCATTATATGTTATTTTTTCAGAAAATATTTTATGAAATAACTGTCATAGAGTTCCTTCAAAAATTTTTGCACTTACTCTTCTTTTCCTATACTTGTTTTGTGTTTCTTTGTGTAAAAGAAAAAATAAATAACGTATGTATGACATAGCATTATTAAGTGGAAGAGTTTGACATGTTATAAGAAAGAATTTATAAGCTTTCAAAGTTTTATTCTTTTTAATATTAATAATATTAATAATACATTGTAATAATAATTGTGAAAATAATAATAATAGTATACTTTTGTATTACAAGGCAAAATTGTTACTGTACAGTCTTTTTTTTCTCTATAACTTTAATTTTGCAATATCACTCTTGACTGCAAGTTATAAAATCTTAGTTTAAAATATTTTTATATTTTAATGAGTCATTACTACAATTGTTCTTTCAATTTCTGAATTGTCACAAATTTTACAGGTTTTAAAAGTGAATGTAAATGGCAGTTTAATGCAGTTATGACTTGATTTACGGCATTGTGTTCAGCCTGCAAATCTGAGGCATCTAATAAAGTGACAGATTTCTCGCATTTCCAATATATCCACTATAACATCTGTGGTCTTGTTTAAAAGAAAAAGCAATTATTCAGAGTACAGCCTTGAAAAAAACAATAATCCCATTCATCTGAGTCTTTACTGATAAAGTCATACAAAGCGATTTTCATACAAGTTACTTCTACATTGCTTCAATAATTCAACATAATTAGAAAGAGAGAATATATCCAAAAAAAATAAATAAATCACAAAGCCGTTTGATATAAAATGATGATGATCAAATTTCCCAAAGGGCGTCATCCTTTGAAAACAGCAAAGATTTAGAATTGCAGTTTAACAATTTATGTATCATTATACCTTTAGAAATATGAGTCTATGTCAATGAAGTATAGAAAGAGATAACAGGTAGTGTTTTATGCGTGTAATTTAGTTATATAGTTACATATGCGGCTTTGAATTTAAGGCAATGTAATGTAAAAACTGTTTTGTCATTTCCTCTTAATATCAAACATGCAATAACGCTTCTGTGAAGAATTCCGCATATGATTCTGGAGCTGAAATTACAAAGTTGAAATTGTGCACATAAATCTGTTATAGTCATTGAAGTTTACTGCTGTTTCATTTGATATTAAAGAGATTATGTAATTGTCATATTACATCCTTAACATATGTCATGACTTTTTTTTTTTAATTTCGAGGTGAATTTCCATAGGTTATCATCCATACCCCCCCACACACACACTCATACACCACTTCTTCAGACCTTCATAAATCAGTTTTCATCCACTTTTACAGTCAGATTAATTTATAATTCAAAAACCTAAGTTTTTAAGGAAATTTCTAAAACATTAAATTTGTAGATTTTGGACAAAAACAACTAGTAGTTGGCATATGTAGACCCTTTATCTTCCTTTCACAACTGGAACTTTTCAGCAAAATTTAATCAAATAGGTAAGAATCAAAGATTATAGAATTTAACCTTTCTTTGAAAGAAAAAAATTATAAATACATGTACACTGTGCCAACAACACAATATCCTAATCCTGCGTATATACTTTAAAAAAATATTAACAACTTTGTACCGGTTCAAAATTCAAGGTTCATTTTACCAGAAAATATCCATAAATTTACAGATA